CTGTTGGGTTTAAGTTCATCTATATGATGCTTCATCCCTCTTGAGACCCGTCCATTCCTTTTGTATAGAAATTCCAATCTCCAGTTTGTTAAAGTTCCATTTTACTGGCCCTAGTAGGCTCAACCACTATATTCAATTCCCAGGACCACATCACATTCTCCTAATGGAATGAGGAGCATGTCAAAGTGGTAGGTGACCTTGTGAAGTTTCCACTCAAATCCCTTACACATAAATTCACACATGAGTTGATTACCATCTACTACTATAACTGATTTGGTTGGTATTTGGTTCAAAGTGAACCCCATTTTCTTGGTCAAATTCACATCTAGGAATTTGTGAGTGGATCCAGAATCAATAAGAATGTGTAGTGGGCTCTGTCCCTAATACCCAATCACTCTCATTGTCTGAAAACCTTGGTTACCACATATGGCATTCACTGAGATGAATGGACTATCTTCTTCCAATTCCACCCTTGACTCCTCCAGGTTTCCATCCACTTCAACCTCTCCATTAACTTCTACCAGAAACAAATGACTCCCTTTACTTAAGCATTTGTGACCCTTCTCAAAAGGTTTGTCCCAATATTAGCATAGTCTTTTAGCTATTTTTCTGCTCTTACTTCTGTTAGAATGAACTTAGACTGATTTGCCACAGGTAGAGAACTAATAGGCTTATTAGTAGGGATAAGCAAAAGGGATTTGTTAGTACTGGTCATAGGGTTCCTTTCTTGTCCCTTGATTGCTTGAACGGTTTCATCCTGACATCTAGCATATTCAATAGCCTTTGCTCATGTGTCAGGTTTTAAATCCCTCACATATGCCTTGAGATGAGGTTTGAGGCCTCCCACGATGCTATCCAAAAAGTGGGCAGGGGGTAGCATAAGATTCTTCATCAGCAAACAGGATCTTAATTTTTCAAATTTATCAATGTAATCCTCCAAACTTCATGTCTGTTGTAGTTTGTTCAATTCCTCAAGCACCTTTGAACTTAGGTCATCTTGAAAGCTAGCACTCAAATCCACAACAAAATCTTCCCAAGTGATATTGGCGCGTCCTGATGTATAACTCTTAAACCATACGTCCGCCTTCCCTGTCATGTATAATAATGCGGCTAGATCCAGTTTCCTCTCATCAGGAATTCGACACATCATAAAATACTTCACAGATATCTTAATCCAAATTTGCCCATTTGATCCATCAAATTGAGGAAATCCTACCTTCGGATTTAAATAAAAATGTCTCAGATTGCCTACCTCCATGTTTCTGTCTCGTCTTTAATCGCGATCCCTATTTATTAATGTATCTTCATTAGCCATCTTTCTCAGTTGTTCCATCATATGTCTAAACAGATTTTGCTGATCATCGATTCGCTTCTTTTGTTCTTCTATCTGCAGTGCGAATACCTTCTGCTGCTCTATGAAGAATTTCAAGGCCTCTTCAATCCCCGCTATTTGATTTGTTTGTCCCCTTGTTACCACAAGCTCTGGTAGCAATGATAAAGGGATGGAAACTCTTCAATGGAGAAGAGAGTTTCGAGACCTACACGGAGAGGAGGAGAGAGAAGAGAGCCGGGAAATATCATGTTCATTACGTAAAAAAACAAGAGGAGGGCAAAAATAAAAAATGGAGAAGATGGAGACTGCGATTGAATTACCTATTTTGTCGATTCAATTTGAAGAGGAGGGCAGAGGAGTGAGAAAGTGAGAGTGAGAACGAAGACGAGAGGCGAAGAACAATGGGATACGCGAATTGCAAAATTAATGGGTTTTATCATTCTTTCAGTCTGGACCTAATATTAATTGGGTATGGAACGAAACGGACCGAAACTAAAAATAATAAATAATCCGGACAGAAGATTGATTCAAAATTAATTGAGTCAGGGTTTGGTCAAGACCTAATGGTCCGATTCGATCGAGTTTTTTCGATCCAGACCTAACATGAACGCCCCTAATGGAGACCTTATTTGGCCTAATTTTTTAATGCAAAACCATTTTGAATAATTTCATAATTGTAAAATACTCCCTTCATCTCATTCTATTCCTCAAGTTTGATTTTTTTTCAAATTAAACAAAATGAACCTTAATAATTAATTATTTTCAATTTATATTGTACATTACGGATTTATAAAAATTTTGATAATTTTTAACAAAATAAAGCAAACAAAAGTCACTTTGCCTTAATATATATTAAGGCTATGATCTTTTAGGTTGGAATTCCAGAGTTGAATGTTGAAAGAAACTGGAAGAAATTGGAAGATACAGGAAAAAATTAGAAAAAACTAGAAGTTTGAAAATGTTGCAAGAATTTAGGTGTTAAAAAGTTATTCAGAATTCATCATTGTCTGTATTCGAGGTGATATGTTATAAATTTGGATATATAATATTATTTTATTTTAATCATATATACATACATTTTTAAGTCATTATTAGAAAAAATGGAAAAAGTTAAAAAAAACTAGCAAAAATTCAAAAAAAACTGGAAGGAATTGAAAATTAATTTTTCCAACCCGAAAAAATAGGGCCTAAATCTAAATTTTATCGAAAAAATCAAAATGAACACAAACATCAAGAGAGAGGTAAGAATAGTTTTGAAAATAGGGAAAAAGCCTAAAGTAGACGAAAAAAATTGAAAATATACCAAAATAGGACTTCCATATTTTTATTTTCGAAATAAGAGTTAAAATGCATTTATATTACTAAATGTGGTTATATACATTGCCAAAAAGTATAGTAATACCCACGTGAAACGTGATCTATTTTGAGAGTAATTTACCAACATATGTAAATAATAAATTTTCCATTCCTGGAAGTGTTAGTTAGACATTTTTTTCCTCACAGTGCAAGACGGATTTAGCTACTCCGTTTCTACTCGGAAATTTTAAATAAAACGGAGTAGCCTAATCCGTTTGCTTCATTTAATTGCCAAACGGAGTTGGCAAATCCGTTTCACTATTTTTTATTTTATTTTGGATAGTTTTCCAACTAGATTGGCTAATGCGTTTACCAATTTTTTTTGCCAACAAAGTTGGCTAATCCGTTTACTTTTTTTTAATTTCTTTATCATTTTAAATCACCTTCCCTTTTTTTCAAATAATTTTTCTTACTTATAAATAAATTATAAAATTTAAAAATAAAATATTTTTCTTTATCATTAAAATATTTTTGTTCATAATTTTCTTTGATAATTAAATAAAATATAACTACCCTTTCCCACTCCCACCTAACCATTTATTTCACATCTCAATTAAATATTTTTTCCCACTCCCACCTAACCAATTATTTCCCCTTCCAATGTTGACCACCAATGTAGACTCGATTACACAAGAGCCAAGGACGACAAATTGTTAACAAGTGAACTCATAAGTACCTTGATTGGTCCAAAAATTCAAGAAGATGCTGACTATAAAGTCAAACTCATTATCAGGGATATTTATGAGTTGTTCCAGATCTCTGTGTCTTACAAGAAGGCATGGTGTGCACGGTTATTAGCCATCCAACGATTGTATGGTAGCTTGGAAGGGTCGTACAATAAGTTGGCTCCCTTGCTCAGTGCAATTATGGGGTCAAACCATGGAACTGTTGTTGATTTACAAACAATGGCAACTGATTCACTAACTTCTTTTCAGTTCAGGTATGTATTCTGGTCCTACAGGGCATCCATAGATGGATTTCACTATTGTCTTCCTGTTATTTCAGTAGATGGAACTCACTTATACGGCAAGTATAAGGGATGTTTATTACTTGTCATGGCAACGACGGGATTGAGCATGCATTTGAAAATGTCCCAGAGTTAGGTGGAGGTCAAGTGACTCGAAGATATTGTCTCTGCCACCTATGTCACATGATGAAGGTGAGGCACGTTATGGATATGTATGACAGCAATCCGGGTACAATTTTCCTATGAATGTTTGGAGACATATTAGGAAAAATGAAGAAAATAGGTTGAATTGTCGTGTTGTGCAGCACCACGCACAAGCGGGGATATACTCTGTGGTGGTGGATGGGTCGTCCTACATTGCGCAGCGGGAGACATTTACGGTGAACTTAAATGCACGAACATGTAGCTGTGCTAAATGGGTTACATTTCACCTCCCATGCAATCATGTCCACACAGTATGTCATTAGTGTATTGTTACCGTGGACCATTTGATTCCAAATGTTTTTTCAATGCAGTCTTACATCAACGCTTACTCTAGCATCATTATGCCGCTACCAGATGAATCCGAATGGCCTACTCCAGAGTACGAGATCCTGAGGCCAACGCCACGACAGACCACACGAACCGGCCGACGTACGAGAACCCGCTATCAGAATAATATGGACTATCGACCACGGAGACATCGTAATGAGTAATAGCTATGTCATTAAGTTCAATTATGTCTGAGTTTATGAATTATTAGATTTTCCAATTAAGTTTGTTATGGTTTGTGTTTTGACTTCTTCTTTTTATGAATAAATTATTTTGTGCACTCTAGTAATAAAATTATTAAATTACATCTTCTTTATGTATGTTTCCTTTATTTTGTAATTAATTTAGTTTCTTATAAATAATTTAAAAGCAACAAAAGTAAATTGATTTCATTCATAAACTAAAAATTTAAAAATTTTATAATACCATTTTTCTTATAAAATAAAGTTAAAAAAGTTTTAAAAAAGTTTATAAAAGTGAAGTTAATTTGTTAAAAAAGTTTATAAAAGTGTACTTAAAATAACTAAAAAAGGTTTGAAGAAAAAAAACAAATTAAGCAACAAATGAAGGTGATGTCCGCACATTAAGAAATTGTTAAAAAAATAGTGAAACGGATTAGCCTAATCCGTTTCGTAATTAAATGAGTGAAACGGATTAGGCTAATCCGTTTGAGAAAATAAACACCACCAAAACGGAGTAGCCAAATCCGGTTGGCATTTTTAGAGATAATGTATTTCTGAATTGCATATAAAGGAATGAATAGCACCGTTTTTACACAAACAGGAAATTCACCCCTATTTTGATACTTTTTCTATATTTTAGTTTTATTTATGATGATTTGTATTAAAAATATCAATTAAAACGTCACATTTACAAAAAAAAAAGCCCTAAAAAGAATGTGCGGTTAAAAAAAGAGTCACAAGTATGGTAAAGAGCGTAAAACTAAACGTTGTGTCGGTGGCAAGCGGACGCACGGGGTTTCTCTGCCAGCCGGCCTGAGACAAATAGACACCGGAAGATTGTAAATACGGGGATGCTGATATTTATAGGCCTAGAAACCGGCGATTTTCCGGTGTAATATATTTTTCGAACTCTTCCGGCCAATCTCCCGGAGATCCCTCAAGTTCCGAACCGCCAGGACGTTGTCGCCCTTCTCCATGTTCATAACTCCCCGGAGATCGGCAGGAATGTCTCCCGATTCTGTTATCCACAGAGCGATTATTCATTATCTTTTTAAGATCAAAACGATGAAATAAGTAATTTGCGAAATTGAAGTTGCATTATACCGATAGGCTTCAGGAACGGCTTGAAGCCTTTGAACTGAGCTAAATCTGCGACAATTAAAACACCAGAAGTCATCATTGTTCATCAACAACCGTTGAGAAATTAAATAATTTCCAAAAGAGAGTAGAAATGTTAGAAATTAGGGCTATCGATTTCATGTGGGGAGGCGAGAAATTACCATTCTCAGTTGGACGGTGAGACGAGATGTAAAGGATGAAGAAGCAGAGGACGGTGAGGAGGGGGATGAGGTGCACGAATCTCTCGGCCTTGCTGAGGCGCTTCAGCGACTTGCGCCCTTCGTCTGCGTCGAAGGTGGAGGGAGATGACTCCGCCGCCGGAACAGCGGCTGCGGAGAGGCTTTCTCTTCGTCCGGCGATGACTCCATTAGACTTGAGATGATTTGATCCTGGCGAGCCTAGTGATTGTCGATGCATAGCTCCAGAGAGCAGGAGAGAGAGAGCAGGGAGAGGCTAGAGTGTGGGAATGTTATTTGTGGATATAAACAGGATTTGCTTTGTAATTTGGATAAAAGATTGATATCATATTATAATTTTTACCTTTTAAACTAACACCAGCATATGAAAAGATTAAAAAAAAGATCATTTTTGGAAATTAACTCACAATAGATACATTTCAGGAGTAATATTTAATAATAGAACACTAAATATAAATATTCTCATGTTATAAAGGATCAATTGTAGAACTCACACTATTTTTTTGAAGATTATTTGCTCAATTTGTTCCTAAAAAACAAATTTAATACTCACACCCCTAACAATTAAAGTTATACCGAGTATCCCAACTTGTGAGAGGATCGACTCTGTTCTGTCCGGCTGATCTGATTGAATCTGATCTGATTTTTTAAAATTTTGATCTGATTCAATTCGATCTATTCTGAATCAATCTGATCTGATGTGATTTGAAGAATTGCTAAACTCATGCCACATTTGGCTATACCTACCTGTTAAAGGAAAAGAATATTTGGAGATATTTGTGTATATATTGTTTTGGTTGTTTATCTTGTATATGGATTCTTTCCTTTTCCTTTTCCTTTACTAATTAGGAGTCTCAACTTGTGAGATCCTATATATATGGCTTCATTGTAAATTGTAAAGGGGACGAGAAATACAACAGAATTTTCTCCGAATTAATTCTTTCATGGTATCAGAGCCAAAACCCTAGAAGATTTTCGCAGCTACTGTGCACCGATCGCCCGGCATCGCGTCCAACGGTCGTCACTTGGTGTTGCTGCCGAAAGACCAGAACGGTTGACCGTCGGGATAAGAACGGTCGAAGGCGTCAACAATACCGATGGCAGTTTCTTCAGTCGCTGCAGCTGTTCAATCTATTATTAGCCCGTGTCGTCCAGTATGTCTGAAAAGGCATCCATAAAGATTATTTACAACAAGAAAAATAAGGAAGAAGAGAGAAAGGGATATTCACCGTTGCCCAATTTCGAGGATCTGACTATGGAGCAGTGGAACACTGTCCATCACGCTCTTGCACTATCCCCTATAGACACCAATCAGAAACTTACAGGTATTTCCGTGTCACCACGTTGGATTATCGATATGGGTGCATCAAATCATATGACAGGTGATCTTTCATTATTGTATGATGTGGTGGGTGTGACTCCGTGTGAAATTGGGTTACCCGATGGAAAACGGGTAGTGTCTGTTCAATCTGGAAAGGTTGATTTGACAAGGACTATGACATTGCAGAATGTGTTGTTTGTTCCAACTTTGAAGTGCCATTTGATTTCTGTCTCACAACTGACGAGGGATTTGAACTGTGAGGCAAAGTTCACCAATGATGTGTGCATATTACAAGACATAAATTTGAGGACAACGATTGGTGTAGGGAGACATGAAGGGGGATTGTATTATTTGAAGAAGGAGGAAAGAAGCATGGCGTGCAGTACAAAGAAGGTGAGTTCCTTTGATCTTTGGCACAAGCGTCTAGGACATCCTTCTTCGCATGTTTTGCCCTTAGTTCCTAAAATTGGTTCAAACAAAAGTAGCCAAAGTAATTGTGATGTCTGTTTACGTGCTAAACAAACTCATGCTAGTTTTCCCATCAGTTTCCATCAATCTTTGGATAAATTTGATATGGTGCATTGTGATTTGTGGGGTCCTTATCGGACGCTGAGTTTAGATGGTTCTACCATGTTTTTGACCATTGTGGATGACTTTTCTCGCGGTGTGTGGGTATATTTACTTGATTCTAAGCGGACAGTAAGAAGTGTTTTTAAGCAATTTTGTGCCATGGTTCAACGTCAGTTTGAGAAGAAAATAAAGTGTGTTTGCAGTGACAATGGCACAGAATTCGAATGCTTGAATGAATATTTTCTGGAAAAAGGAATTATTCGTGAGACATCTTGTGTGTCTACACTCCAGCAGAATGGAAGAGTGGAACGCAAACATCGTCATATTCTGAATGTGGGTCGAGCTCTGAGATTTCAGACAGAGCTCCCTATTGAATTTTGGGAAGATTGTATACAAACTGCGGCATATTTAATCAACTGCACACCCTCTTCATTGCTAGGGGGGTTACACCGTATGAAAAGCTTTATGGAACGGTCCCTACGCTGACTCACATACGTGTCTTTGGTTGCAGATGTTATGTACACAATTTGAGAAGAGATGGAGATAAATTTGCACCCAGAAGTATTCCTGTAATATTTTTGGGATACCCACAAGGAAAGAAGGGATGGCGCGTGTATTTCCCGGACACTGGGAAGATCAGTGTGTCACGGGATGTTGTATTCTGTGAAAACATTTTTCCTTACTTGATTTCCGCATGTGAAATCCCAAATGAGAGTGGATCGAGTAGTTCCCTTTCAATCAATCATTTTTCAGATGATGAAGAGACGCCCGCAGAAGAGCAGTCAGACCGTTCCATGAGGAACGGTCGACCGGAGGAAAGTGGCAGAGCAGACAGGCTACAGACGGTCGACCAGATGGACCGTTCGGATGTCCACGGTCGACCGTCCGAGAGGCAGAATGACGGGTTCCTGAGAAATGATCAAACGGTTGACCTGGTGGATCATCTTGATATCCACAATCGAGCGTCCGAAAGGCAGAATGACGGTACTTTGGGAGATGATCAAACGGTCGACCGTGATGTGGAAGACGGTCGACCGTCTCCGAGGCAGAAAGTTAGTGATATGGAAAAGCTTCATACAGTTGACCCCCGTGGACCGTTCCCAGCAAGCGGTGGAGAACTTGGGACGTGGCCAGCGTGAGAAACGTCCAAATGTATGCCTTGCCGATTATGTTACCCATGTAGCTGGTTCATATGTTGGTGAAAAACGCAAATATCCTCATGCCTCGTATGTCACACACGAGAGGTTCTCTGACAGACACAAGTGTTTTCTCAGTGCACTTGATGCTGGAGTGGAGCCCACAAGTTTCAAGAAGGCATTCCAAGATGAACGTTGGAGGAAGACTATGAGAGAGGAGATTGATGCACTGGAGGCTAATGAGACATGGTCTCTTGTCTCTCCTCCACGTCATAAAAAGTCTCTTGGTTGCAAATGGGTGTATAAAATCAAGCGCAAGTCCGATGAAAGTATGGAGAGATATAAGGCTAGACTGGTTATACTTGGCAATCATCAGGTTGAAGGACTTGACTACAAAGAAACATTTGCTCCTATAGTCAAGTTGACCACCGTGAGAACACTTTTAACAGCTGCAGCAGCTAAGGGGTGGGAATTGCATCAGATGGATGTTCACAATGCATTCCTACATGGAGATCTTCAGGATGAGGTATATATGAGATTGCCACCTGGTTTCTGGAATTCGTCTAATTTGGTGTGCAAACTCAAGAAGTCTCTGTATGGCTTAAAGCAAGCTCCAAGGTGTTGGTTTGCCAAGTTGTTTGGAGCCTTGAAATGCTATGGGTTTGCCAAGTAATACATGTTTTGGTTTATGTTGATGATTTAATTATTGCTGGAGATAATTCAGAGATGGTGAGCAAGTTCAAAGCCTATTTGGGAGATTGTTTTCATATGAAGGACTTGGGAACACTGAAATACTTTCTTGGCATTGAAGTGGTGAGGAGCACGTCTGGGATATTTCTATGCCAACGAAAGTATGATTTGGATATTATTAATGAGGCACGATTGTTAGGGGCCAGGCCGTTGGGTGCGCCCATGGAGCTGAATCATCACTCGGCTCGTTCCAAACTCCTGTTCTGACGGATCCAGAACCATATCGTCGTCTGGTAGGGAGATTAGTCTATTTATCTATTACACGGGCAGAGCTTTCTTATGCGGTGCATACGTTAGCACAATTCTTGAAGGAACCCAGGGAGGATTAGTGGTCTGCAGCTCTTGGAGTTGTTCGTTATTTGAAAGGATGTCTGGGTCAGGGTATTTTTCTATCAGCAGAGAGTAGTCGTCAGCTCATAGGTTGGTGTGATTCGGACTGGGCAGCATGCCCTTTGACGAGGCGATCCTTGACTGGCTGGTTTGTACAACTTGGAAATTCGTCTGTTTCTTGGAAAACTAAAAAACAAACAATGGTGGCTCGCTCGTCTGCTGAAGCAGAATATAGGACTCTTACTGTCCTTACTTGTGAGTTGAAATGGTTGAAGAACTTATTGAGGTGCTTAAGGGTTGAGCATAAGAACCCTATGACCGTCCGTTGTGACAGAACAACGGCTCTTCATATTGCTGCTAATCCGGTTTTTCACGAATGCATGAAACACATTGAGATCGATTGTCACTTTGTTCGTGATGAGCTTGTACGAGGAGAGATTCATGCCATTCATGTCCCTACTACGCATCAGCTCACAGATATACACACGAAGGCACTAGGGAAGTCACGACTGGAGTTCCTTATTCCCAAGTCGGACATTTCTTTGTTGCATGCTCCAACTTGAGGGGGGGTGTTAAAGGAAAAGAATATTTGGAGATATTTGTGTAAATATTGTTTTGGTAGTTTTCCTTGTATAGGGATTCTTTCCTTTTCCTTTTCCTTTACTAATTAGGAGTCTCAACTTGTGAGATCCTATATATATGGCTTCATTGTAAATTGTAAAGGGGACGAGAAATACAAGAGAATTTTCTCCGAATTAATTCTATCACTCCCACATTTAGGGGGGTGTATTCAATTAGGATTTTATTGGATTTTTTTAAGATTTCAAAAAGTTAATGGATTTGAAAAATCTGTAGAATCCATGTAGAGTTTGGTGGAATTTTTGTAGAATCCTTGTAGAGTTTGAAAAATTCATAGAATCCATGAAGAGTTTAAAAAATATGTAGAATCCAAACATCATTTCTCTTCGAAAGTTCAACCGTGATGCCAAGGTGTTTTTTTATGTGGGACTAACAATATTAAAGTTTGAGAATGATAAAGTGCCCTTAATTAAGGTCCGACCAAGAAATATATAGGAGTATATATGCATGTGTGTGTGTGTGTATAAAGATGAAGAGTAGAAAGACACCTTGGTATCACAGAGACACAAGCAGGAGTAGGAGAATAGTCATCACAGAGCAGGAGCCACA